TATACTCTCAATAGCTATTGTTATTTTAAAATTAAAATTTGATGTGATTTTTTTAAAAACACTCAAATGTAATTTAACACAAGTGTGCCCATATAAACTACAGCGTCTCAAGGTCAAATTATAAATAGGTTATAATAGGTGGCTCAGCCTGTAATCCCAGCACTTTGGGAGGCCAAGTTGAGTGGATTGCCTGAGTCCATGGGTTCAAGACCAGCCTGGGCAAATGGCGAGACTTCATCTCTACAATAAATCAAAAAATTATCCAGTCCTCTTTTGATGGGCAGCACATTTTGTTCCATGTTCTTGCTATTGTGAACAATGCTGCAATAAACATACATGTGCAGGTATCTTTTTTATAGAGTGATTTAGTGCTTCTGGGCATATCCCCAGTAGGGAGATTGTGGGGTCATATGGAAGGTTGACTTTTCAAACTTTTAGGAATCGCCACACTGATTTCCACAGAGGCTGTACTAGTTTACACTCCCACCAACAATGTAGGAGTGTTCTCTTTTTGCCGCATCCTCTCCAGCATCTGCTATTTTTTCAGTTATTGATGATGGCCATTCTAATTGGGCACACCTCATCAACAAGGGGACCTGCACAATGAATATTTGTATACCTAACCCTGAATTGTACCTCACAATTTAAAAAAATTAGCCAGGTGTGATTCCAGCTACTTGGAAGGCTGAGGCAGAAGCATCGCCAGAGCCCAGCAGGTCAATGCTGCTGCCATGAGCATGCCATGCACTCCAACCTGGGCAACACAATGAGACTCCAACTCAAAAAAAAAAATCAAGAATGATTCACTATAAAAATGAGTCTTCCAGCTTATAAAACATTTTTAAACATTTACTGAGTGACTCTTATGTATCATGCATTGTGTAAGGCACACAAGCACTAAATAATTCTTGAACATAAAAAATTTTAAACCAAATAAGTTTTGTCTTTTATAAAATTAGAAGATATATTTAATATTTCAGATATCAGAAAATATTCTTTGTGTGAAGAAATCTAACCACTGATGTATGTGTTCAGGTAATTTTAATTTTTTGGTCTATAATAACACAATGGAATACAGAACCAATAAAACTATAAAATTACTTCTGATACATAGGAAAATAAGCATCCCAGAATTAAACTAGAATGTAAAAACTGAAAGGAAAGATTAACAAAACATGTATATAGCAATCTAGGGTAGTAAACTGGCATTAAGTGACAGGACTAAACATGTCATGGTGAGAGATGCATTAAATGCTCAACGTTATGAACACAGAAAAAAATGCTTAGTAAGATACAACTTTGCGGTAGTCACAATGTTAAATAGTCCACAACGTTAAAGCATTGCAAATAAAGGAGATGGATAAACAAATTCAGTATCAATGCTATCTCAAACAATTTTTAAATGTAGGAATGGAATTTGTCTCTAACATTTTACTTTCTAGAAGCATAGCTAAAAATCTCAAAATGTCTTACTTACTTTGTAATGCTCCATCCAAAAAGCTACCTTTTCTATCATTCTACATGGTATGTTATCACTTCTCATACTGTTATTTCATGTTTTCCTGGTAGACATAATTGAATTCCTACTTACTCTAGAAGGCACCTTCTTTCTGCAACTTGAAGCATTTTGTAATCAACAACTACCAAGGACTTTTTCAATGCATTTTTCAGTGATTATTGAGACATATTTTTGTATCTCAATAGAATTGTGCTTTTTTCATCTTTTATTGAATCTAACATAATTTGATAAACCTATGACTCACAAAGAAACCATGTAGACTACATTAAGTTCAAAATAAAGAATTTTTCAACTTATCTATAAATACTAAAAGTAAACATCCCTTTCTCAAAAAACTATACTTAGGGGAAAATATTTCTTCAAAAATCTTTCCTTGTATCACAACTGCATTTAAGCTCTCTTTCATAATTATTTTGTAAAACAGCAGATACAATGTCTCATTTTTCTGGTAAGACCTAATGAGGACATTTTATAGTTGCATCATGCTTAACAAATTACAGAAGTATTTAACAATTATTTTCTCTTTGTACACAGCAGTAACATTTAATGACTCTAAAGCATTTAGACCCTGATCATTGCATTTCATCAAAAAGTAAAACAAAACTAAGGTCACAAAATGATGGAAAACTATCAGGTAGAATCTGTTATTTTATGTATCAAAGCAAGCATTTTATTTGTTCCATTTTAAGCTGTTTGGCTGCAATACTGTCCAAGAAACAGACTAGCTCTTCTACGATTTTTTAGGATGTGAAGCCATGGGAAGAAACAAGGTTGAATGTGGGCCTATGCTGTCTTGCTCTACATTAAAAAGATCATGAACTTATCATCAAAACTACAAGTCAATGTGCATTGACTGAAATGGATATTTTAATAACCATGAAACACAAAGAATAATAGTTGTTATTCACGTTTTTTGTATTTCTTGTCAGAGACAGAGTTTCACTATGTTGCCCATGCAAGAGTGCAGTGACTAGTCATAGGCAAGTCATATCTCACTACAATCTTGAATTCCTGGGCTCAAAGCGAGTCTCCTGTCTCACCCTCTTAAGATTCTACAACTACAGGAGCAGACTAGTGTGCCAAATTATTTGGTTTTTTATTTTGGGTATTTTATTTTATTTTGAGTCAGGGTCTCACTTTGTTGTCCAGACTGGAATGTAGTGGCAAAATCATGGCTCCCTGTAGCCTCGAACTCCTGGATTCCAGTGATCCTCCCCATTCAGTCACTCTGGTAGCTGGACCTATTGACACACATTGCACCCAGCTGCTTTTTTTGTTTTGTTTTGTTTTGAGAGATTGGGTCTTGCTATGTCACCCAGGCAGGTCTCCCACTCCTGTCATCAAGCAATCCTCTCTTGAACACTCAAAGTGCTGGGATTACAGGCATAAGCTACTATACCCAGCTGACTGTGGCCAATTTTTAAAAATTTCCCGCAGTTGAAAACTAGTCAGATGCCAGAAAAATATCTTAAACTGGGTCAAGGATAGTTGGACTATATTTTTTCCCTACCAAGTTTACAATGGGTATAGCTTTTCATTTTGGGGTTCATTTTGGAATTTCCAACAATGGATCCTTACTATGATTGAAAGGTTCTTGTTACAACTCTGAGGCGATGGAGAGCCTATATGGCTTTACATTAATATTAAGTAGGAAGTATATCAGTGATTCTGTTTGGTTACAATAACTATTAAAAGACACTTGATATTATTGCCATCTTAGTTAATGATCATTCAGGTGCTGGTAAGATAAAGACACATATGTGAACTTCATTTTGAAAATTCAAATAGTTGCTTGATTTAACTATTTAAAAACTGTTGGGGGGCAAAATATAAAATTAAAAACTATCATGCAATGCCCAACAAGATACATTTTACCAAAATTAAAATAAGAATACTATAGAAAAGAATGCTGTAAAGATTAATCTCTATGTAAGAAAATCATGACCAGGTGTGGTGGCTCTGCCTGTAACACTAGCACTCTGGGAGGATGAGAAGGCAGTATTGCTTGAGCCCAGGATTTCAGAACCAACCTAGGCAGTGTGCAGGACCCTTTCTCTGCAAAAAAAAATTTTTTTTAATTATCTGGGCATGGTGGCTCATGCCAGTAGTCCCAGGTATCTGGCAGCAGAGGCAGAAATATCACCTGAGCCCAAGAAGTTGAGGCTGCAGTGAGTCATGATTTTGTCTCTATGCACGTGTCCAGTGACAGAATAAGTGAAACTTTTAACTTAAATAAGAAATGAATCCTTTTAGTGTTATATTTAATTCATATGGAGTATCTATCTTGGATTTTTTTGAATGGCAAGCACCCATATTGGTAAAATGTTTGGATGTCAATTATATGCTTGTGATTAGGGCTGGAAAACTTGAATTGCTGCAGAGAACTTTTACAAGTGTTCGGAGCCACAGCCAAAAAAATCAGTTAGGAAGTAAACCAAGGCACCTTTAGATATTGGGTAATAATACACAAGTTCTAAAATCTAATTCAAGTGCAGTTTCCAGAGAAATTTAAAATGTATCAGGTTATTGATATTCATTGAATAAAGTTAACAAATACGTGACTCCTAAAAATGACAACTCCAGGGACTTCAAAAAAACTGTAAAATTGTTTTCTGTTTTGAATAACATAGCTAATTATGACCTTTAGCTAATGTGCAAAAGTCAATGAAACAACTCAGTGTTAACCAAAGTAAAAAGAATGATATCAAATATCTGAAAGCCAAAGGAAAAAAGTTTCAGAACTAACCATGGCCCAGTTGCTCTCAATGCTATTATTTAAAGTCTGCAGGAAGGTCTCTGTCGAGATCCAAAACACTGTTAACATTTCCAGCACTAGGTGACTCCAGGACTGGCCTTGGAGTATGACTGGAAATTGAAGATGTGGTCTGTTGTTTTTCTACCATAATATTGGAATGGAGCTTTTGTAGTCTGTCATGAGTTCTGTGAAGATTGCAAAAGACAACAGCTTAGTACTTCATTTTTCCTTAAATAATACCCAAATGACTTGCATTTTTAGTAAGCTACCATAAAAGTCAATGGAATTTTCCACTGAAGAGTGTTTTATTACAAAAGCGATGTCATATCATGTCTACTGTAAGCAATTAAATTGGAAAAATTGTTCGCAAGTGTACATATATTTCTACGGAGATTTCTAACAAACGAAAAATTCAAACAAAGTTGGGAAGGGACAAAAATAACTATCAATTATGTATTGCTGAACACATGACACTTTCTGTCTTGTAGAATGACTGTAGTTATTAGATTCTTGAGGATACCAATAGACATACTCATACATAAAGGGTGAGTTATGTAAGATGATGAATATGGTAATTTACTTGAAATAATAACCATTTCACTGTGTATAAACATGCCAATGCATGTTGTACTCCTTAAATATATAATAAAAAACTAAAACTAGAAATCAGCTACAAGTACTTGCATTTAGTAAACAAGTTCAGAGGTCTGTTTTTTCTTACTAAAGACATGGGGTACACAGCGTGATCGTGAAGAACGTCCGGAACATCGATTCCTCCGAGGGTGGGGAGAAAGACGGCCACAACCCCACGGACAATGGTTTGCACAGTGGGTTTCTCACAGCCTCCTCCCTGGACAGCTACGGGAAAGATGGTGCGAAGTTCCTGAAGGGAGACGTGCCTGCCTCCGAAGTGACTCTCAAAGACTTGGTGTTCAGCCAGTTCAGCTCCATCTCCAGCGCCGAAGAGTTTGATGACGATGAGAAGATCGAGGTGGACGAACCCCAGATAAGGAGGACGTGCGCTCCAGCTTCAGAACCAACGTGTTGGCGTGTTCGGCTCCCCAGCAGGACTATGAGAAGCTGACGGCACGTGGAGGGGAAGACTCTAGTAAATCCGGACTCTCTATCTCGGGCAATGTGGATCAAACCAAAGTCGTTAGAGAGAAACAGAAGCCAATTCTATAAACCTGAGTGTTTATGGGTCTTTTAAAGTCAGGAACTAGCAGAGGATAAATTGAAGGAAAGCTCTGAAAAGTGCTTGAAAACAGAGTCCTGGATGGGAAGCTGAGCTCGGAGAAGGACACCGGCCTCGCGGGCGTCGCGCCGTCCAAGACAAAGTTGTCCTCCAAGCTCTCGTCGTGCATAGCTGCCATTGCGGCGCTCAGCGCCACGAAGGCGGCTTCTGACTCCTGCAAAGAACCGGTGGTGGCCAGCTCGAGAGAATCCTCCCCATTACCCAAAGAAGCGAACGACAGTCCCAGAGCCGCGGACAAGTCCCCCGAATCCCAGAGTCTCATCGATGGGACCAAGAAAGCATCCCTGGAGCCACCAGACAGTCCCCGAAGCATTTCAAGCGAGAACAGCAGCAAGGGGTCCCCATCCTCTCCTGCAGGGTCCACACCAGCCATCCCCAAGGTCCGCATAAAAACCATCAAGACGTCTTCTGGGGAGATCAAGCGAACGGTGACCCGGGTGTTGCCAGAAGTGGATCTCGACTCTGGGAAGAAGCCTTCCGAGCAGACGGCGTCCGGGATGGCCTCTGTGACGTCGCTTCTGTCGTCGCCAGCCTCGGACACCGTCCTTTCCTCTTCCCCCGGGAGCCTCTCCAGTCAGCGGTCATGACCAACGCGGTGTCTCCTGCAGAGCTGACCCCCAAACAGGTCACCATCAAGCCTGTGGCTACCGCTTTCCTCCCCGTGTCTGCCGTGAAGACGGCAGGATCCCAGGTCATTAATCTGAAGCTCGCTAACAACACCACGGTGAAAGCCACGGTCATCTCTGCTGCCTCTGTCCAGAGCGCCAGCAGTGCCATCATTAAAGCCACCAACGCCATCCAGCAGCAGACTGTCTGGTGCCGGCGTCCAGCCTGGCCAATGCCAAACTCGTGCCAAAGACTGTGCACCTTGCCAACCTTAACCTTCTGCCTCAGGGTGCCCAGGCCACCTCTGAACTCTGCCAAGTGCTCACCAAACCTCAGCAGCAAATCAAGCAGGCAGTAATCACTGCAGCCGCCTTGCAGCCCCCCAAAAACGTGTCTGGAGTCCAGGTGGTTTCGTCCTTGCAGAGTTCTGTGGTGGAAGCTTTCAACAAGGTGCTGAGCAGTGTCAATCCAGTTCCAGTTTACATCCCAAACCTCAGTCCTCCCGCCAATGCAGGGATCACATTACCGATGCGTGGGTACAAGTGCTTGGAGTGCGGGGACTCCTTGCCGGAAAAGAGCCTGACCCAGCACTACGACAGACATAGCATGCGCATCGAAGTAATGTGCAACCATTGCACAAAGAACCTCGTTTTTTACAACAAATGCAGCCTCCTTTCCCATGCCCATGGGCATAAGGAAAAAGGGGTGGTGATGCAATGCTCCTACTTAATTTTAAAGCCAGTCCCAGCAGATCAGATGATTGTCTCTCCGTCAAGCAATAGTTCCGCTTCTTCTTCCATCAAGCAATAGTTCCACTTCTTCTTCCACTCTCCAGAGCCCCGTGGGAGCCGGCACACACGCTGTCACCAAAATTCAGTCTGGCATAACTGGGACAGTCATATCGGCTCCTTCCAGCACCCCCATCACCCCATACCATGCCCCTGGATGAAGACCCCTCCAAGCTCTGTAGACATAGTCTAAAATGTTTGGAGTGTAATGAATTCTTCCAGGACGAGACGTCGCTGGCCACACATTTCCAGGAGGCTGCAGATGCAAGCAGACAAAAGACTTGCACTATCTGCTAGATGCTGCTTCCTAACCAGTGCAGTTATGCATCACACCAGAGAATCCATCAGCACAAATCTCCCTACACCTGCCCTGAGTGTGGGGTCATTTGCTGGTCGGTGCACTTCCAGACCCACGTCACCAAGAACTGTCTGCACTACACACTGAGAGTTTGTTATCAATGTGTACATTGCAACGTTGTGTACTCTGATGTGGCTGCTCTGAAGTCTTACATTCAAGGTTCTCACTGTGAAGTCTTCTATAAGTGTCCTATTTGTCCAATGGCATTTAAGTCTGCCCCCAGCACACATTCCCATGCCTACACACAGCATCCTGGCAGCAAGATAGGAGAACCAAAAATAATATGTGTTCCATGTGCGACACTGTGTTCACCCTGCAAACCTTGCTGTATCACCACTTTGATCAACACATTGAAAACCAGAAGGTGTCTGTTTTCAAGTGTCCAGACTGTTCTCTCGTATATGCACAGAAGCAACTTATGATGGACCATATCAAGTCTATGCATGGAACATTGAAAAGTATTGAAGGACCTCCAAACTTGGGTATCAATTTGCCTTTGAGCATTAAGCCTGCAACTCGGAATTCAGCAAATCAGAACAAAGAGGACACCAAATCTATGAATGGGAAGGAGAAGTTGGAAAAGAAGTCTCCATCTCCTGTGAAGAAATCAATGGAACCCAAGAAGGTGGCCAGTCCTGAGTGGACGTGTTGGGAACGTGACCGCCTGTTCACGCAAAGAGATGTGTACATATCCCACATGAGGAAGGAGCACGGGAAGCAAATGAAGAAGCACCCCTGCCACCAGTGTGACAAGTCTTTCAGCTCATCCCACAGCCTCTGCCGGCACAACCGGATCAAGCACAAAGGCATCAGGAAAGTGCACTGCCCGAACTCCAGGTGGCCCTTCACGAAGCTGCTGATGTTGGAGAAGCACATCCAGCTGATGCACAGCATCAAGGACCCCGATGTGAAGGAACTGACAGACACCACCCATGAGGAGGAGGTGGAGATCAAGGACGACGTCAAGGTTCCTGGCCCCAAGAGGAAGCTTGAAGAACCCTCCCAGAGTTCAGGCCCCCTGAGGGGCGATCACTCAGCTGCTGAAGAAGCTGAAGATCAACGTTTTCAAGGTCCACAAGTGCGCCGTGTGTGGCTTTACCACCGAGCACTTACTGCATTTCCACAAACACATCCCTCAGTACAAGTCCGACGGCTCCTCCTACCAGTGCCGGGAGTGCAGCCTCTGCTACACATCCCACGTCTCCCTGTCCAGGCACCTCTTCATCGTGCACAAGCTGAAGGAGCCACTGCCCGTGTCCAAGCAGAACGGGGCCAGGGAAGATGGCCAGCAGGAGAACAAGCCCAGCCACGAGGACGAGCCCCCTGACGGCGCCTTGTCAGACAGAAAGTGCAAAGTGTGCACAAAAACTTTTGAAACTGAAGCTGCCTTAAATACTCACATGCGGACACACAGCATGGCCTTCATTAAATCCAAAAGAATGAGTTCAGCTGAGAAATAGCCACAGATATGCCATCAGGAAAATCTCTGTCCACATTGGAAATAAAAGACACCTTTTTGTTACAGAGAGTTTGCAGTATAATAGAGTTACCAGGACTGTCTAGGCTGTTGCAATATATCCTCTTTTCACGTCCCTTCTTCACCTCGTCCTGTATATCCTCGATAAGTATGAAAACAGTATTTGAGTTTAAAAGCGTTTGTATATATTTAAAGAATAACTTTTTATACTCTTTGTTACATGTTTGTATCAGTATTTAGTGGAAAACGTTTTGAGTTTTTTGGGGGTTCGAATTTTTCTTTTTGTATTGTTTCTTTAAAACAGAGTTCTTAGTAACAGGGGCAGTTCCAGAATTCAAATAAACCATTTTGTATGTTACGAATTTGAATGGGTTAACGAATTACAGGCTAAAATAACGCTTTTTAGTGTTTTTAATTTTAGAATTCACTCCATAAAGTGTGGGTGATCGTGGGTCTCTCAAACACTAGGAATTTTTAAGTGTCTTAGCGCCCTCCTCGCCGTGCCTGCTCCATGGGCGAGGGCTCACTTGCGACACCACCGCACACGCGCCACTGAGGGCATGGCTCTGTGCCGAAGCTGTGCTGCAGGGTGTTGTTCAGGGCAGCTTTGTAGGTGGGCTTCTTTCCCAGCACTGTTGATAAAAGCTTTGGCCAGGAATCAAGTCAGGGACGTAGATTTCCTTAATTACATCCTGAGGAATGGTGGGGAAGAAGAGCCTTCTGCAGGGGTAAAACCAGGATGGGTTCTTTTCCAGGCAGATTTGCAAGGCTGGCAGGAAGAGCACAAGGAGATAACGTGACGAAAGGGCTGGACTACTATAAAAGTTACAAATACAGAGTAGACCCATAGATTTCTATAGTCAGTTTTTGTCATGTAATTTATTAATTCTTACAGAAACACAACTAGGAATATCCAGTTATATTTCTCTGGCTCTTGACAGGAAAAAAGAGAGAAAAAAATCACAGTTGACTCAACCCTGCGCCATCAAAAGAGTTGGTGTTTCCTGTTCTGGGTGCTACTGCCAAAAGTTCTGGTACTTAGAGTTGAGATGCACAACTTCAGCCGCCAACTTCCAGCAATGCAACTGCCTGGGCATTGCAGTCGGCCATCAGATTCAGCACTGAGCCTCCTGGCTTAGTTCCGTCATTTCAATAAGCCTATTTAATGTCAGGAGTTCTGCTTCCATTAAAACGCAGCAGAGGTATATTCTGTCCCTTCCGTTGATCGTTCTCTGGGAGAGTTCTATTTTTTGGTTTGGTTTTGTGTTTTCCTTTGCATTTTATAACTTGTATTTGTTGCTGAACATGTTTTTGTACTTTTTTTTAAGAAAAGGAATTCTTTCGTGTATATAGATACTTGCATGATATGCTGTAGTCAACGTTCGGTTCCTCAAAAGGTCTTGCTGCTGTCAGGTGTTATGCATTACATCCATCATAACTGTATTAGACACATTTCATAATGTAAATAAACACGGGACGTTTGGCCCTTGTGCTTCTGTGAGAGCATTCTTTATGGTGGGTCTCTGACATTGTGATGTTTGGGAAATGATTAATTACAGGGACAGGCTACAGAATATTGCAGAATTCTTCCCACGCGGAAGAGCGGCATATTTGTTCTCTTGAGTAACTGGCTATATCTTGTCGCTTTCTCGTTGACTCCATTGGGACATTGGTACAGTTGGAGGGTGTGGTTATTGCTCAACTTGAAAAAGTCAATTGCTGTTACCTGTTATATTTGTATTGCTCTAAGTTGTATTAATCACACTTTCATATGTTTTGGCATTTGGACGTTGCAGTAAACCCGTGTGCTAGGCCACACAGGTCTGAATAGCCTAGTTTTACAGTTGAGGAAACTGAGCTCAGATTATGCTCTTGGCCTAAGTCCTCATAGCTAGTAATGACTTTGCGTATTTAGAACCCAAATATTTTGCTCTAAATCTAGTGCTCGCTTTATGTGGTTATGTACATATTGACAAATATTCATTTATTCAAATAAAAAAGTATGTGCAAAACAAACAAAAAAAAGATATGGGGTACAATCAGGGTTGGGTATACAAAGGTTGATTATGGAGGTACCCTTGTTTATGAGGTGTGCCCCTCCCGCCCCTAGCAGTTTCCCTCAACTGCCACTCCCACACCCTCGCCCCTGACAGTTTCCCACTACTGCCAATCTCTTTCTTATAGTTTTAGGGTAATTGTTCAAGGTCCGCTTATGGGTGAGAACATATGGTGCTCTGATCTTTGTTTCCATGATAGATCACTGAGTATGACAGACTCTAAATCAATCCAAATTACTGCAACGTCCATTTGTTTGTCCTTCTTTATGGCTGCATACAATTCCATTGTGTATATGTACCACATTTTTTTAATCCAGTCCAACTTCAATGGGAAGCATGGTTGGTTCCATGTTTTTTGGTATTATGATTAAAGCTGAGACACACATATGTGTGCAGATATCTTTTTTGTAGAATGATTTGAGTTCCAGTAGGGGGATTGTGGGGTCATATGGAAGGTCGATTTTTAGAACTTTTCGGGGTTGCCACACTGATTTCCACAGAGGCTGCAGTAGTTTATGCTCCCACCAACAGTGTAGAAGTGTTCTCTTTCCACCACATCCTCTCCAGCATCTTTTATTTTTTGAGTTGTCTATGATGGCCATTCTGACTGGAGTTAGGTGTTATCTCAGTGTCATTTTAATTTGCATCTCCTTGATGATTAGTGAGACTGTACGTTTTTTCATACATCTGTTAGCAGCTTTTATGTCTTCTTTTGAGAAATGTCAATTCATGCCTTTAGCCCACTTTGTAATAGGGCTGTTTGTTTTCCTCTCTTCAGCATATTTGAGTTCCTTTTAACTCAGGTCACTCTATAAAAAGATACTTGCACACGTATGTTTATTGCAGCATTGTTCACAATAGCAAGAACATGGAACCAACCATGTGACCCTTTAAAAGAGGACTGAATTTTTAAAATGTGGTATGTATACACAATGGAATACTACGTAGCCATAAAGAGGAACAAAATCATAAACTTTGCAGCAATCTGGATGGAATCAGATTTTATAATACTGAGTGATCTCTCACAGAAACAAAGAACTGAGTATCACATGTTCTCACTCATAAGTGGACCTTGAACAACTACCATATTACTATAAGAAAAGAATTGAAAGTGGCAGGAAACTGTGGGGAGGGTGTGGGGAGGATGGGGAGGTGGAATTGACAGTAGTCAGTATCTGCCTGGGGAAGGGGCACACCTCATCGATAAGGGTAACTACACGGTGAATATTATACCAAGCCCTGAATTGTACCCACAATTTTAAATAAAAATTAAAAGAGAAAAAAAGGAAAAAAAGATGTATAAAGCTGTAAAATTTAATTTAATTTAATTTTAAAAGAATGATTTGAGTTTCTGTGGGTATAGTCCCAATAGAGGGATTGCTGTGTCACATGGAAGGGCAATTTCTAGTTCTTTCAGAAATCGCCACACTGTCTTCTAAAGAGGTTGCACTAGTTTACATTCCCACCAGCAGTGTAGAAGTGTTCCTTTTTCTCCGCATCCTTGCCATCATCTGTTGTTGTTTGTCTTATTAATGATGGCCATACTTATTGGTATTAGGTGGCATCTCAATGTGGTTTGGTGATTTTTTTTTTTTTAAATCCATCAAAGACATTTTCAAGTAATTGTTTTCACCACCCTTGTACATTTCACCTATTATCTGGGAAAAATTAAGCATTTGGCACCAAAAAATAATGCTAAGCAGCAACTTCTAGGGAGAATGGCATAGCTGAATTGGTGATCAAAAAGAACTAAAAGAGTTTCAAAGGCGATTAGCTCCTAAGATTGCTACCAGGGTATCAGAACGGTAGCTGCCCTTTCTGTCTTCCACACATTCCCTTGCGCTGACCAAGATGTTGTTTGTAACAACTTTGTGAATTAAACTTTCTTTTATTCCTATGTTAATAATTACCTATTTCACAAATATGTCTTTGCTTAGACTTGAAAAATATACAGGATATTTCCTCAAGGTGGCCTCTAGGGATAGTGAAAGAGCACAATCAAGGAAGTTTAACTGACTGAGTGCCAGAAATTGCCCTGAATTAGTAGTAGCATTTGATCCTTTTGATTTAAGTTGTAATCTTTTTTTGTTTTGTTTTGTTTTGAGTTGGAGTCTCACTTCATCACCCAAGCTGGAAAACAGTGGCATGCTCATGGCCAAGCCAGGATCAACCTTTTGAGCTCCAGCAATCCTTCAGTCTCAGCCTTCCAAGTAGCCGGAACAACAGCTGTGCGCTACCACACTTGGCTAATTTTTTGATTTACTGTAGAGATGAAGTCTTATCATGTTGCCTAAGCTGGTCTCAAACCAGCGGGCTCAGGCAATCCACTCACCCTCAGCCTCCCAAAGCACGGGACTAGAGGCTGAGCCACTGAGCCCAGTTATCATTTTCAAAAATTATATGATCTCGTTAGCTTTCACTTCCCACTAATATCATGAAATGGTCTCACTAAAAATTATGCCTTTAAGACGTATTAATGAGCCTGATTTTACATTTTTACTTACATGTATAGTATGTTTGACATGGATATGTTAGTCTTTAATTCTACTTAATAGAGTTTCTTATATTTTTCTATTTTGGTTTCATTTAAGTATTCTCCAGTAGTTTTCAATTTGGATACTTCAAATTCTAGATCTTTAATTATGAGTTCCATGTTATTTCTTATGGAAGCTATATCATTCTCCTTTACTTTTTTCTAAGCTCACTTGAGACTCTTTCAGTTTCTAAAACAAACTAAAAGGATACATTTTTAAATTAATTATAACCTGAATAATTACATTTGCTTCCTTGCATTTTAAGTCAGTGATTCAGAGAACAATTTTAAGTTAATAAAAAAAGCTGAAGTTTAAAATGTTTATCTGCAACGTCAACTAAATCGATCCATTACGTTGGAATCAGATCTGAATGATAAAGACAGACTAAATCATTCTAACATCAGTACTTATGTAATCTGATAATTCAAAGAATAATCAAATCCATTTAAAATGTTAAAACTTTAACAAACTTAAGAATAATTTTAAAGTACAGTACAATTTCTAAATCATAATTTTTCCTTTTCCTCATAATCTTGTTTTATGCAGACTAGCATTAACACATGATTCTGTACTGAGAATCATTATTTTGAAAGATCAATTTTGTAATATAAGGATGGAAATGGAAATACTTGAAAGGAGAAACATATATCACTTTCCTTTCAAAAATCTACAAAACAAATGGCTATAAGGGAAGTAGATGAAACATTACCTGTCTATCTAGCTATCTATCATCTATCTACACATATACACGCATACACACATACAA